CACAGATACTAGGAGAGATTTGTCCCACTCACCCTGGACTGTCTTCACATTCGCACACTTATCCTGGTACATTTCTCTCTCACGATTGCTTAAGACAGCCAATCAACACAAACTCTGATTTTGCAGTTTCAATAAAGCACAATTTCATGTCTCTGTAAAAATGTTTCTTCCGATTACCCTAAATGGCATCAACCAGAGCTTCATCACAAAAAAAGAAAAAGATAAGAGCTGCCTGTGTCGTCTGTTTGCCCTCTCAAGCCCAAATAAGGAAGTTGTGATCTTTGACGTATATTGCTCTTCTGCTTTTTGGAGTCATATGTATAGATGACAGACGTGGGTATAGTGGTCACAAGCTGTTCTGGACTTGACACTTCCTCTTTCACAAAGTTCTTTCCCCTTTTGCTTTCCTTAAAAGACGCCACTGAAACTGCATTGAAATCATAGCCCTTCCATTTAGGTGATTCACAATCAGTATCCACCCTAAACAGATCATGTTATATTGCATAACGTCATGAAATGATGAGATCATGCAGTGCAATAGTAAAAGTAACATGTCTACAGACACATATGTCATACGTGTGTAAATACTCAAGGAAAGATGTGTGAAGTTTTCCTTTTACAATTGCGGTCAGTCATCGCTCTCTAAGGTAATGGGGTGCAGTCGTTCAGCTACATTAACACAAGTGGAGTCGCAAATGAAATCGAAGGATGAATCATTTCACACGTCAGGGCCTGGCACGGCTCTGACTCACTTACTGGAAAGTGAGATCGCTGGAGGTTGTCATGCCCTGTATAGTCATCAAAGCATTTCTTCTCCGTCTGGTTTCTTTAGGTGGTTTCTTTAAGGGATCTTGGTCACATTGTGTCAGATGATTATCACTGCAACTTGCAAAAGTTGTTCCAAAAGAATTTGAATGGGCGTCAGGGAGAAATTCCTGTTGCTGGCTGGTTTTACCCTGGAACAACAGTGTTGCTAAATAGCATCAGGAGTCAAGACGTTCAAAATCAGAAGCTTGTTGGACTGAAATTATAAACTCTACAACTTATGGGTCATGAGCCCCAAATCTGTTGTGATCAGAATAAAAACTAAAGTTTTCAGGAAAAAATAAACACGATTGTTCAAACTTTTTCCTCATAGCCGACTCATAGCGTAATGATCCTTTACGTTTCCAGTCTTTGGTGTTTCTAGTCAAATTAGCGCATTTTCCGAGCTGATAATGCAATGTTAAACCTATGAAAATGTTTTTTAAAAGCACATGGATCCATAGTGTCATGACTTTACTTTTGACTTTTGTCAGTGCCTCACCCGTCAAAGTTTAATGACTGTGTAGATGACATGAAGCTGCCCAAAATGAACTACACTGAAAACTAATTGTTCCCATATCTTTTGTTGTTCATGTCAAAGGCCTTGCAATTTTGTTAATGGTGATATGAATAAATGTTACTTTTGTATGTGGTGCACTGTTAAAAATATAGGTTTCAAAGAGGGGTGTTTTGCATAGAAATACATTTTTGGTTCCCCAAAGAACCATGTTTTTCTTAGCGTGAAGAACATTTGAATAATCTGAAGAACCCTTTTCCACTACAAAGAACCTTTTGTGCATTGGGAATGTTCCATGGATGCTAAAGGTTCTTCATGGAACCATCTATGCCAATAAAGAACCTTTATTTTTAAGAGTGTAAACTATTTTGTGCTGGGTCGCCACTTGTGAAGCAAAACCAGTTGAAAACAACTTTGCTAGAAGTCAGAGAAAAAAATCTTCAAGCTATCTTTAGTTTGTTTGCAGTTGCTGATGTCAACTTGAAGCTTCCCCTTCTCTCACCTGACTGAGCCAACATGCTGGATTTAACCCTTTGAGATCATATAAAGCAGGATTGGCTGTATCATTCATATAGTTCCACTTAAACACTTTGGAATGAATTTTTCATGTGTGGGCCGATGGGACATATTTGCCAGGGAGTATTCATTTCAAATTCCTCTTCAGGGTATTTGGCTTCTGTTATACACCCTCTCAGCTGCAATGTTTTGTGACCCTAATGGACGTTCATGAAAGGTTAGACCGGTTAATGGAGAAAGTAAATGGCTAAATTCAATTCAGACAGTCCTTTGAATGACATGAAATATGAGATGATGACTGTTTGTCTCTGAATTGTCCACCTGCCCTCAAATCGAAACGAAAGGACACCTGTACAGGAAATGCTCCATAATACAGTTTATTTGTTGAATAACATGACTATGAATACACTCTGGAAATTATGCTGGTGAGCAAATGTTTCACATAACAAATTAACAGCAAATTTGAAAAGATTTTTTCCAGGTTCGATACAAGTTAAGTTCTAACTTTCTGCCAAAATAATTTTGACTCCCCCCCCCCCCCCTCAAAAAAAAGAAAAAGAAAAAAAAAAGTATTTTTTTAATATTTTTTTTTGGTTCAGAAAGGATGCATTAAATTGATCAAAAGTGATGGTAAATATTTTTATATTGTTAAAACATTTTATTTATTCTATTCTAACTTTCAATTTATCAAGGAATCCTGAAAAAAAAAATGATTACAGTTTACACAAAAATATTAAGCAAGACAATTGCTGTCAACACTGATAATAACAAGATATATTTCTTGAGCACCAAATCAGCATATTAGAGTGATTTCTTGAGGATCATGTGACACTGAAGACTGGAGTTATGTGTGCTGCTGAAACTTTTGATTGCTGGTGTATGTATTATATAGCCTATATATTATTTTAAAATGGACAATAATGAAATTCTATGGTCAAAGGAGAATTTTATTTTATTTTATTTTACAAAATGTATTATATGAGATGTCAAGTTGTTAATCATCCTTTTTTCTTGATATAATCAATTTCCTTCCCACATAGTTTTCATAAAATTTCTGGTTTCTCGTTGAAACATTTGTATACCATTCCCTATCATGCATCAATGTAAACACGAATTAACATTTTGAATGCGTCAAAATGATTTTCTGTTGCATTTCTGTGGCTTTTTTTTTGTTGAGCCCGGAACATTTCTCTAACATCACTCACAACAAAAATATTGTTTACAGCTCCAGACAGCTTTAGTTACACAACAGCAAGTAGCTTGATTACAGAGTACATTTCAGACAGCCTGGCAAGACTACTTCTTTTTCCTCCCTTCGTTCTCTGTTGGGTATAGGTCAACCGATTTTCTCTAACTGTCTTTTGGTTGTTTAAGATGCCACTTTTTGGCTATTCACACTCTGTGTCTCCTCTGCAAAGGGATGCATCTTTTTAAAAAGCGTAATGCACACAGTATTAAATATAGATGACACTCTTTATTTACAAATAAAATGGTCACTAATACGAAAAATTGGCTTGTTGCTGGTGCATCTGCCAGTTCCTTTTCAAAGTGGCGGTTTCAAATGCCATAAAGTCCAAATAGGGCATAAAGACATGGTGCTAGATTCATATACAATCACTGAATTAGACTCAGGAGAGCTGCGTCTACTTAGTTTAAAGGAGAAAAGAGCAAAACAACAAAAGTACTATTCTAGTTCACATTCATTCATGAATTTGACCACTGAAGTTTTTTGTTTCAGTAGGATCTCGGATTACAGACTTTTACTGAGCCAGATGTGTTGACAGATATATCAGGGTCATTTTACATGCAATCTTTGTGAAATAAAATGTCCTTTAATGTGGTATCACACTTTAAACTCCAAATACATATTTTCCACCTTTTTTTCTATACCTCCTTTTAACTCACTATATAGTGCAGCAGAAGTCACTACAGCAAACTGCAGAATACTCTTGCATTTAAAAGTTTTCAATGTCCGTTATTGAGTGCAAATGTACTGTGCCCCGACTGTCCTCTCCTGGAAAAAAGGATTGGATCAGATTGCTAGTTAATTGCCGCCTTTGTACTGCTGGAACAGTAGATGTACTATTTGTACAGCCATTCCCTGTCGTGACACCCCATAGTGCACTGGGTGTGATGCCAATACTCTTAAGTACTGCACTGTAGAGCGGCTCTGTAGTACAGCACACTACCAGATGTGGCCTTGCGTGGACAGAGCTTTATTTGTCTTTAGAAGAGCACTAATGGAAATTGATTGTGACTTAATGAGATCGTTTGGCAGGTGATACCAAATCAGACCATGGTGTTCACTGTGTATCTGGGTTAACAAGTTCTTCCACGCCTAATGATGTTTTCGAGCTACGTTTTGACGTCTGTCCCAGTTAAAAGTCAGATTGGTCATCGAGATGTCCTTAACTTTTGTGGCTGCACCAACTAGACTGAAACACTGAGCTCAATCATTGTATACTTTTAAAATGCTGTGCCATTTTTTAAAGTAGCTTAAGCTGTAAATACTGTAGGGATTGACAATGTAATCAGTACATTTTGAGTAACGATGCACCAAAATGACACTTCTTTTTTGAAACAAGATATCTGGACATCCAGTGCCGAAACCAAAAGTAAAATGGTCATTTTAAATTTGCCTTTGTAAGCAAATTATATTTATATTTTAATTATTTATGGAAAGCGCACCACTGCACATGCAGAGACAGTATGTTAATGGTCCACTGTAAGCACAACCTTGTCAATTTATCATCCATGAGCCATTCATAATTTTGTGACTGATTTGTCACTTAAAAATAAAATGTAATGAAACTTTTAATGTATATATAAAAAATAATGTATAATAATAACAATGCTATTATTATTATTATTATTTTAGAATTACAAAATTAAAACAATTATTTTTAAATAATATAGCATTATTATTATTAAAAAATTAAAACCAATATTAATTAATAATAAGGTTTTTAGTCATTACATTAAACATATTAAAACTACTAACATGGCTATTATAATGATGGTTCTTTTGGGGAGGAGAAAAAAAAAATCACCCTTTTAATTTATTTCAGAACAAATACCTAAATATTGAGATATTTGTATCGAATATACATTTAAAGCGAATATACATTCAATATTGACACCCAATCTGTACTTTATCCCACAGGTCAAAGATGAGAAGAAAATCCAGGAGGTGGTGGATCTCACCGACTACGAGAGGTCTGAGGAACTTCGCAAGGCCAAAAGCAGGAGCAAAAAGAACCACAGCAAGTTCACGCTTCTGCGTTCACGGCAGCCAGGCAACACGGTCAGTCACTACAGGAAGTTGGGTTTGGGAAGAAGGTTGGGTCAGTAGAGGATAATAGCTAATGGGTTTAGCCCAGTCAGGGATGGTTTATTAGTCAGTTTGCAGTCATGAAAAGCAATCACCTGTTGCCCAACTCAGATACGTGTCTCTACATTCACACATAAGGAGAATAACAGAGACTAAAATAGGTGCTCTTAACTGGTTTTTCAGCCATACAGACTGTTTTCAAACTGCTTCTGTAATCTATTATATGAATAGGACAATTCAAGAGTCACACCTGTTTGTAAATGCGGTTATAAGTACCAAACACTGACTTTTGTTAATGCAGCCATTCAGACTCGAGTCTAATACATGTTGATGTTAGTCTAAGAAAATATTAGACAATAAATCATACTCCAGCATGTTAGTCTCCAAGCACAAACTTGGACCGACCTCTGTAGTCATCCTATCTGGTGTAATTGGCTTTCAGTAAGAACGGCTCAGCTTATTGCTTTCACTAGCAGACCACAGGCCACCACAAATATCCTTTATCCTTTAGACCAACACAAATAGTACATCTTACCAATTGAGTTAAAGCTCCAGGTTTCTTAAAGGTGAAGTGTGTCTATTTATCCAGCAATCCATCTATATTTTAATTTAACCTATTCTGAAATACATTTCATCAGTAAAAGGAAGTTTCTCTTTATATTTTAATTTACTCTCTTCTGAAATACATTTAATCAGTAAAAGGAAGTTTCTCTTTGTATTTTAATTTAACCTCTTCTGAAATACATTTTATCAGTAAAAGGAAGTTTCCTTTAAGAAGTCTGCTTTAGTTATTGATTGTTGATTTTTTTTTCTGCCAGTCTAGACTCTGCAGCACATTTGCAGGATTTCTGACAGCTAGGAGAAACATACTGTAAGGGGTTACGTCTGACCAATCCTTTAAAATCCAGCACCGAGACAAGGGGTTAATCCCTCGGAAAAAACATGAAGGTCTTAGGAAAATCCAGCAGCACCCAACCTCCCAAACACACCCCTTCACACACAGAAACACACCACTACATGGTTAATAAGTCCTTCTGCCCCACATACAACAGCTGTTCCATATGCAGCTCAACAGGGGAGACACCCTACTACATGACCTCATGAAAATCATCTTTCTGCTTTTTTCTCTCGCCTGCCTCTTTTTTTGCACCCTTAAAAACCTGCTTCCACGAGTAAGATTCAGCACCTAATTTGAATTATTACCAAAGAATTCAAAAGCCTTACAGGAACAGTATTCTTTGTGCACTTATACAGTTAGTATAATGCGCATTGTAGCATTATATTATATATAGCTAGTCATAGTTACAATTATTTAAAATGACATTTTTTTGCACTGACACCAAGCTGTTTTTGATGCTGCAAGCATTCACCTAGCAACCATCCAAAACACCCATGAAACCACTTAGCAACAGACTACAATATTTTGAACACCTTAAAAATCACATAACAATGCCTGCGCAACCAACCATCTGCATAGTGACAGCAAGTTTTGCACTGGAAAAGTACCAATGTAAACAAATTATTTAGGTGTTTTTGCAACTCAAATAATTTATGTTTTTAAAATAAGTCTCTGTAACACTTTAGTTTGATGGTCCCATTTAGACATTCTGTTGACTACAACAAGTAATGTTTATTCACTCTCATTAAAGTATTACAGTAGTAGAGTATTAGTAGACTGTCTTCTTAATATCTGCTAACACTTAATGTTCTGCTCCACCAACAGACATTCTACTGACTAGAAGTAACTTCGGAGGTCAACTTGTTCTACTAACCTGAACCCCTTAATCTACTCACCTTAACCCTAACAGTCTATTAATACTGAACTAAAACTCTAATGAGAGATTGTTGACATATAGGTGGAATGTTACTTCTTAAAGTCAACAGAATGTCTAAAGGGGATCATCAAAATAAAGTGTAACAGAAGTCTCTTATGCTCACTAAGGCTGCACTAGTTTATATATATATATATATATATATTTTTTTTTATCAGCAATCAGCGATGTTTTCAATGATATGTCTTTTTTAATTGTCAAAGTGTTGTGTCAACAACAGTACAAATATGTTTCATTGGGAGCATAGCAGAGTCTTATCTACACAGCTGCAGCATCAACAGAAGGGCCGCCTGTCTGTCACGGCTCCAGCAGACTGTGCTGGGAAGACTTGCAGTGTTGTTGCCTAATATGGTGGTTTCTGCCTCACACTGTTGCTGCATCAGCTGTCCATAGACAGAGCCATATGGCTGTACCTGCTCATTTATGCTTGGCTCACTACATGTTTGTGTCCACCTAGCACAAGACTGAAGGAATTTTCACCATGTTTGTAGGCGTAAAATGAAAAGCCAGCAGGGTTCAGGGCAACACTGGTCATACATCAAACTGTACAGTTACTGCAACTGTATGTTTGTTTTTGGATAAATGATCTCCTCAAAAAAGACATGTTTTAAAGGATTTTTCATCCTCAAAATGCAGGTTCCGAATCTGGTGTTTTTGGCCGTCAGTCCAGAAGAGAAGGAGTCATGGATCAATGCTTTAAATGCAGCGATCACCAGGGCCAAGAATCGCATATTGGATGAGGTAAGCTAGATGTCTTTGCATATAACAGTGCTGCTTGTTTAAAAAAGCCCGCCAGCGTTTAAAGGTGAACTAAGTAACTTTTTTACCTTAACCGAACAGCTTTGGAGTCATTGTGATGTTTATATTACTGATTTCGTGTTGAATGGTGGTCGTCTCGCACACCCCTGGTGCCTGTGAGCCGCAAAACCACCCTTGCAACTTTGGGCCGGCAGGTTTCGCGAGGTAAAGAATTGCTTTACGGCAAAAAACAGATCTGATAAAATTCTGATAAAATGAGCATCAAACAGAAATAACCCGGCGCCGTATACATGTGGTGTTCGAGGCGCACATACAATACAGACTGCCGACAGTTAAACAGGGCGCGCGCAGCTCTTAAAGGGGCCATACCTTATTTCCACTCGTTACAGCGTCCATCCTACTGAACAGGTACCGGTGTACAGGGGGAGGGGATCCGGCCGTGAGTGCGAGCCATCTCTGCGTGAGTGCTATTCACGACAGTACAAGTACTCCACTGCGACTCTAGGGGTCGCTGTTTGACAAAAACGGAATTCCTACTTAGTGCTGCTTTAAAAAAAAAAAAAAGTTCCTTGCCACTGCCAGTATTTTTGATCATTTTAACAAAACTTTCATGGCCCCCACAATATTTTGTTGAATAAATATCTTATGCAATATAATCAAAATACTTTTATTCTAGGTTCATGTATTCTTTATTTATCAACAGTTGAATGCGGGTTTCATAAAAAAAAGCTAAATTTTGAACAAAAAGATGATTTTTTCAGCTACAGAAAAGACTACAGCATTCATAAACAATGCTTTTATCGTTCGTTTCTGCTTCTTTTTCGCATGCGTTTTGATCCGGAGATTCTTTACTCTTTCAGAAGTTGCGTAATAGCGCCCCCCTACCGCATAACAGTGAAAACACGGAAAGCAAGAAAATTCCATCAATGGCAGGAAAAGAGTTAAGCATTTTCAACCAGAGCGAAAGTTAGTAATGCATTGACCATATGACAGCATAGCTACTTCCATTAATTATGTTTCTTGACGTAGGATTAAGGATGTGAACAAGCTCCTAAACACAAGTAATAAATTCGTCCTACATCGTTTGTGCTACAGATATCAATGACACCTCCAATCTCCAGTCCTTCCCCAGCACCACCAATCAAAACTAAGAAAACGGAAACAAGACAACATTAACATAATTAACATAATAAACCTTAATTAGAGGACTCCAGGCCAGGCGTTCGCGATACACGCGTAACAGTGTGGTTTGTTGAAGAAAAGTGTGCTAGACTTAGACTGCGTCCGAAATCGCCCCCTATACCCTTAAATAGGGCACTATTTGAGGGGACAGCCGAAACCATAGTGGACGTTACTGAGTGCACTCATTTAATCCCACAATGCAATGTGAGAGTCGCGCGTCGAATGAATTTCCGCGTCTGACCAGAAGATGGCACCGCAGCTGAATCATCCATCCATTTTCCAAACCACTGGTCCAATGTGGTTATCATTAATGTGGTTATCATCCAATGTGGTTAGCATTATCATACAGGTATTAATTCCTTTTTAATTGATTATTAATTGTTTAACTACGGTTTATGTTTGCTAGTTTGCATGACAGAGTTCAAGATAAATCTTTTCATTACTACTGGAGCTACCAGTTTGCTACGTTTTAAATAATTATTAAGCAGCATGCTTACACACTCAGAATTCACTAACTCGTTTTCATTCACTCCTTCAGTGGACTAAATTAGGGGAGAAATGTAGGGAATAGTGAATGAGGGTATAGGGGGCGATTTCGAACACAGCATTAGTTTTTCAAGAAGTTGATTGACAGGGATGGGAATATCATAAAGTATCAAAAGTGAATATCATTCACCTAGGAACAACTCAAAACACCCTATAGCAACCACATAACAATGTGCTAATAACATTATGAACACCTTTGTAAATGCATAGCAATGCTCAGGCAACTATCGACAACACCCCAGAATGGTGGTTGCAAGGACTTTTTTTTTACTTGGGTCAGTGAGCATTCACCTAGCAACCACCCAAAACACCCTAGCAACCACACAGCAACCCAAATAATGCCAGGCAACCATCTACAACACCCTAAGCAGTGATTTATATGGGCAAGCACTGCTCTATAGTTTCTTCAGTTTTTTTAAAAACTGAATACAGATTGTCATTCACAGGTCCTTGGAGAAGCCACTTTAATAAAAACTTTTAAATTGCAAAGTTTCCTGCCCTCTCATTCCCTGATCTTTTCACAGTTTGTTTGCGAAAGGGATTTGCTCAATTTAAAAGCGGGTCTATAATCACGCTCGACACACAGTGGGAGAAAATGAATCACTCCACCAAAAATAGACGGCAGTCACGACGACTTTCAGCGTTAAAGCAGCCAAATCAGAGCCTATCTTCACCTTCAGCTTCCGGCAATGAACGAGATTTCATTTCGGACCTAACCATGCATGCTGTCTGCTTTTTCCAGATCAACACTTGACATGTCATGGAGACCAGGTCATTGCTTAGGACCATAAACATACACACAGGCAGATGAGGACGCCTGACTGTTCAATTCAATTCAAATTTATTTGTATAGCGCTTTTCACAATACATATTGTTTCAAAGCAGCTTTACAGAAAGTGCATTTCAGAAATGTACATAGAAAAAAAAAACTGTGACTGTGACACAGTCAATGTTCTAGAGATTCATTTAAATAAATCAGAGAGAGCGTGTGCTTTCCCTTTCACATGTGATTGTGGTGTGATTCATACCCTACATCTAGTTGAGTTAAACAGACAAGGTCTCCCATACCACTCAACAGGAGAGGAACAAGACTGAGTCAGCACACGATACCAGCCGGTTATGTTGAGAGTGCTTCTGTTGAACCTTACTCATAACTAGACTGTTCTTATAGCCATCCAGTACCAGTCTAAAATTACAGAACGGTACTGTATCACATTGTTCTTTTTACAGTTGTCAGTCACGATACCAACATATATCAATTAAAGGGATAGTTTACCCAAAAATTTATATTCTGTCTCACTACTCACCCACATCATTCCAAACCAGTAAGACTTTCGTTCATCTTCGAAACACAAATGAAGATATTTTTGATGAAATCTAAGCTTTCTGTCCCTCAGTTGGCAGCTACGCAACTAACTAACCACTTTGACTTTGAAAGTTCATAAAGAGATCGTAAAACTAATCCATTTGAATTTAGCGGTTTGTCCAAATTTTCTGAAGAGACTCGTTCACTTTATATAATGAACAGATTTAATTTAGGATCAGCGAACATAAACAGAAGCTCAAACGAAACTGCTTGACGCACGAGCACAAATGTGGTTTTTGCAGAAGCTCAAACGATCGGAAATTGGACTAAACGCTCAATTGATAGGTATCTCTTTATGAACTTTTTGAAGTATCAAAGTGGTAGTTGCGCATCTGTCAACGGAGTGTCAGAAAAGTCTCAGATTTCATGAAAAATATCTTCATTTGTGTTCCGAAGATGAACAAATTCTTACGGGTTTGGGCAACATGAGGGTGAGTAAAGACATAATTTTCATTTTTGAGCGAACTATCCCAGAAAAAAACAGAAGAAAAAACAATAAAAAGGTCTTTTGCACTTTCTATTTTTTCCCTAGGCTGGGTATCTATTCAGTCAATTCGATTCCAATTGACAAGCTTTCGATTCTATTCGATTTTTATGTGTTTCGATAATAATTCAATTGTGATGATTTCACTTATAATGTCAACAGACATACATCGGTTATTTGTGGTCGTGGAACTGAAAGAAGCAGGTTCCCACAGCTGGATGCGTCACTGACAGTTGTTTTCTCAACATCAGATGTATTCTTTTTCTGATATGGATGGTTTGGTTTTTCTAATTTCAGTATATCAATGCACTGCTTATCCGTTGCCAAGCACTGCTGCAAGCTGCAAGTGTGGGAAATGTGTAGGCAGGTTTAGTGCCTACTAGACAATGAGAATATGCTTTCACTAGCCACAAACAACACCATGCACAAATATATACTAGATTTGATATATTCCTGAGCTTAACTTTGCGAAACTCACCACCACAAGTAGGGTAGGGGTTGGGTACATGAAGCAGTCACCATGCTGTTGCTAGATGAAGAAACAAGATGCTAAGAAACAAAGGTAATCTTCTAAACAAATATTTTGTTTCGTTGTGTACTACCCTTTCATTGTGTTCCATAAAGCCTGACCAAACACAGTGAGATTAGACATACACTCCATTGGCCAACACACACAAGCCATCTCAGAACACAAAGTCTTGGTTGTTAACATTTACAGCTTTAGCTTTCTCGTAAACAACAGACTTGTGTTGACACGTTTGATGCATGTTGTTATTTTTCAGTGTAGCAAATTCTCCGATTATTCCCTCTAGCTTGTACAAGCATTTTGCCCAGAACTCAAACATTCATCCACTCTTCCCAATTGGTCATGTGTCATTATTTGTACCTCACAAACAAATAATAAACAGACTCATTGAATGTCCGGTCAATATACTGCCCCCCCTCCTGCAGGCTGGCGTAAAACATGTAGCTGCCGATAGTTTCCATGTGATGGATTTATTCAGTTGGGCTTTATTGCAGTGCTTTTTGTCTGACCCCTTTAGGTGACGGTGGAAGAGGATAGCTTGTTGGCCCATCCGACGCGTGACAGAGCTAAGATACCTCACACACGCCGTCTGCCCACCCGCGGGCACCTCATGGCTGTGGTAAGAAGTCCATTCGCTTTGAATGTCACCTCATTAAATGTGAACAGCCTACTGGGAAAAGGCTATAATGATACATATAATAGTATGTACTTTTTTTTCAGTGATGAAATACTTTCTTCTTTATACCATCAGTTTTAAGACAATTTAGAGCCTTTCTGCTTTCCAGGTCAGGCCAGTGGTTCAGATTTCTACTTGGCCTGCCAACATTTTACTAGCCCCAAAAATGTTTTATTTTTATTTATTTTTAGAAAATCAGATTTTTTACAATATACATTGCATTTATAATTCAAAATGCTTATATACATTTATTATAATAATATATATTATAAAAAAAAAATATATATATATTTTTTTCATTAAATGTTAAACTTTCTTTACAAAGAAAATTGGCTTTTATAGCTGAAAATTATAAATTTTGTAATTTTAAACCTATTTTTACTGACGGAACCAAGACTATTACAACACATAGTGGAATTTTTTATAATACATTATCTATGTCGGTCAGATATATAATTTTACATCCTTCTTGTTGAGCCCTGCTATTTAAAAAAAGGTAAACTCTGAGAACTTAAGCAGCGTGAAGTACTTCTTCACCTTCAAATTTTATTTCAAATGCCATCACAATGAATGAAGCGGTTCAATTTTTGCATTTAACCTACAGAAATACTTTTTTTCTAAAATCTCGCCACCCTTTTCAGGCTTCTACCACAAACTCGGACGGCATGCTGACACTTGACCTCATCCAGGAAGAAGACGTCCTTCCAGAGCAGGGTCAGGACTCTCTTGAGGATACCCTCGATAAAGCCGCTTCTCAGCATACCCTAGATTCCCAGCGCTCCAACCCAGACACCTTGAAGCTCTCAACATGTAACGAGACCCCCGGAAAGTCCCAGAGTCTGCCGCGGAAGAGCGAGAGCGCCTTTGACTGGTCGGAAAACCATCGGACGCCGCAACTCCGCAAAAAACCGCCTACATCCGAGAAGAACCGCTGCGCTTCCATGGACGAGATCCTCACGCACTGCGAGACGCGGGCCCTTCCACACTGCTCGACTTCAGCGCCAGTGCAGCCCATCAGCCAGCTCCAGGACCTCATCACCCAGAAGCTGGAGAGAACTCAAGAACTGCTGACAGAGGTGCGGGCACAGGGCAAGGGGAAGGGATCGCCGGCTGGAAAGAGCTCCGGCCCAGAGGTTCAACGGATAGAGGCGGAGCGGCTTCTGGAGGAAGCAGCGTCCACTTGGGGTCAGGCTCGTGACGTACTGGAAGAAGTGAAAGAACTCAGAGCTTTATACAAGCAGCTTGACTCCGCCCCACTCAGTCCTTCACAGAACGGCAAACTAAACAGCCCTCAAGCAAACCACCGGAAAAGCATGATGTGAGGACACAGAAAGTCCTCTAACGGTTTAATGGCGTCGTTTTTCAATGGACTCTTCCTGTTGACTGCTTTAGTATCGCTGGAATCAAATAACATGAGCTATACGTCTATGTATGAATTGTTAAAGAGCTTCCACTCCCTAATATCAGCGTCAGAGCAAAAGTACAAGGGACCGGTGGTTTTACCAAACTCGAGCTGTTGCGCTATGCCCTGCAGTTTCATTTTTCACAGTGATGTCAACAGGGATAGTAAAACCAAGGAGTCACCAAGCGGTCTCGAGACAGGCTGAAGAAGCACCAGATGGCGGTGATGTTGTTGTCATCACTAGGCTATCACAATGTGAATGTTACACTGGAGGAGCTTCGTTTCAAAATGGTCTATTTTACTCCCTGGGTCATTTTTGTACGTAATAATAATAATAAGTCCCAGCATACTTGCTCTGCTGTTAACAAACCGTGCTCATAATAAGATGCAATCAGGGTGCAGCCAAAGGCGATTGGCGGAAAGCTCACGGATAGTGGGACATGTGCTGTGTCCGGCGGTGCTCTGTATCCCATCAGATGGGCTCCAATTGTGAACAAAGCCATGCACATGAACACAGATGACGTCTGGTGCCAGAGTTGCTGCGGAAAGTGGAGGAAGAAACAGCTGCCATTAAAGACGAGACTCCATGCAGTAAAGGAAACGATTAATAATAATTACACATTTGCACTATGGAGAATGCTGTAAAACGAGAGTGACACTGGCAAGCTATCTTTTCAAACCTAAGAGGCAGAACAGACAATCTACCGTAGGCAGGGAAATATGGGTCGTCTTTACACCTAAGTGGTATTTCCGAAAATGTTGGTATCTTTCAAAATCAAAAGCTGCCTTAGCGTATTTTCATAAGGGCACATGCAAACTGCATTTCAAAGACTCTGAACGCTTATATATTTGAATTTTCGAAAAGTTCGCCAACAAGTTGCCTGCACCTCAAGAGAAGCTTTTGAAGCATGATTTTATTTTGCTTTGCTTTGATTTTTGTCTTTGGGGAACTATGCAAGGTTGCATGGGTGAATCTCACGAAACCAGTCAAGAACATGAACGTGTCATATTTCTCTCCAATTTTTTTTTTTTTAACTTTATTGTTATACTATAAAACAATTTTTAAAAAATGTGTTGGAAAATGTTCATAATTGGCATGAAGATAAAAAGACATTAATAAATAATGGTCTTATATTCATTTTATGCAAAATATCATTTCTTTTTTCTCTCTTAATTTTGGCTTAAAATGTGACTTGGTCATGTTTCATGAGATTCCCCTACATATAAGCTTGAAATAATCCACTGTTTTCAGGATTCACTGGCAGTGTGCAGTACGGTATTGCGTTAAACGACCAAAGGGTATGTCTTGCCAGTATAAAACACCTTGTTTTACAGTTCGTAGCTAAATAAATGTGTTTGCACAATTCTATGGGTACAGGTCAACCTGTTCTGTTACGAAGACTTGATTATAAACAGTGTTATATTTTTTTGTACATTTTATTGTAAAGTGCTTTTTTGTAGAGAAAGACTTCGAGGAGAACGCTTGATTTAAAAAAAAAACACACACACACTTCCCTGCAAACGCAACTCGACCGGACATTCCTCGCTTCTGGAATCTTGTCATAAAAAAACCCAACAACTGTAAATCTCCATTTCCAAAGGTAATAAAGCACAAAGCCTACGGCAGTCCTTAGCTTTTTAAAAAAAGTACAGGTGAATGACTCAAAGGTTTTATTCACTACCCCTCACATTTTAAGTTCTATTCTTGATCATATTATCGCCACACAGATGCCAAAGGTTTTCTGTACCTCATACACTCGTATCTCAAACAGAGCTATGTTGAGTGATCTTTTCAGGTTTAATCAGATGAACTGGTTTTGTTTGGTCAGCTGGCTGTGTTATGATCTGATTTTTCTGACAGTGCCAGCGGAAGGTGAATCTAATTAACAGAGCATCTGTCAGGTAGCCAGGATCAGCAGGGCTCATATTAGATTACATCAAAACCAATCCTGACAGCTTTCCTATATCCCATAGATCATATTGCAAGGGATAACAGAAACCCAGCCAAATTGCTCCTGTACTTTGATAGTCGTACAGTAAATTTCTCATTTATGACACGTTTACTTTATGTTGACATTATAAACCATGTGACTGCCTAGAGCTGATGTTTCCTTCATGCTTTTTTGAACTATTTATGTATGCCATAACATTGTTCATCTGTTGTCTCTATTTTTCTGAACTTCTGCAGACCTTTGATAAAATGTGAATGTGAATGAAGAGGAAAACCTCTCATTTGGTTCTTGACTGTGTTATTGTGGTCAGACTAGTAATTTTGCATAGGGATGTTGAATTTGTGTAAGCTAGTGCGTCAGTGCTAGACTGGCACTGGAAAAAGGACTCATGCAATCAGAAAGGAACGGACAATCGATTTTACCTACTTCAAATGACAGACTCTGGCTATTTTAAGGTTTGAAATGCACATTTATACAGAAGAAAATCTGAATGTTTTTGGAATTTTTAAATTCCATCATCCTCACAAACACGATCTCTCAGATGGACAATACATTACAAGCTGCTGGTAAACAACTCAGACACTCAATTGTCTTTTCTGCTCTAGCCTAATCACATTTATATGGAAAACTGTAAATCTCTGTGTACATTATTTCACATTTCTGTAGCTAATTGTAAATGGGGGTCAGTTTGCAGTGTGAAGAGAGAGCAGAACCCTGTGGGTGTTTGTAAGCTCAGGACCGGCGAATCTCTGATGTACTTGAGACACAACCACTTGTGCAATTAAAAGTGATCCTCATTTAACGTCCCTGAATTCTGAGTGTTCATATCATAACAAAATTGGTCTCAAACCGATAGTTTTTCCATGTTGCGTCCATTGCTGGACGGCTGAGAACTAAGAGTCTGTTGTCATTATACAGTACGACCGGCCTCTAAAGACGAAATAAAAACTATCACTGACGCCTCGTGGAGTTTGTTTTGACACATGAGACTAGCGACATGAGTAAGCAAATTGTATCCTCGCTCATGCAGCCGACAGAAACATAAAACACACACACATACAATATACATATATGTGTCTAATTTCAATGCTGTGGCCTTTGTGTAGATATTTAAAGACGGCCATCTTTAAGCATGACTTTTTGGATTTATATGAAATGGTAACACTTTACAATAAGAGTCCCATTTGTAACATTAACTAAGGTTGATAATCGTTTGTTAATTTCAACATTTACTAATACATTTTTACATTTGAAAGTATTTCTTAATATGAATTAATGCACTATGAACTAACATTAATGATCAAGGTATGATTAATATATACTTTTTTATATTTTAAAAGTACAACACATTTTCATGTTTCAGTGCTTTTTTTCAGTTTTTGTAATAAAGTTCGGCACAATTTTATGTGTTATGTTTGGTTTCATTCAGTATCCAGTTTAAAAGCTATTTGTTGATTAATCGGTTATCAGACCAACCAAAATCCACTATTGGTCGACCTCTACTCTCATTTGCCATCATTAAATTAGCAAGAATTGTTCATCAGAAATTGGCAGTTTTCAGCTTATGCTGATTATCTCAAAATGGCCAAATATTTATCAATTAATTGGCCTGGCTGTTATATCATTCTATCACATTATAAGCAATAAATTCACTCCAAATGCATATTTTTAATCCATAAATATATTCACAATAGACTATTCTTGTATCTTGTATTTATTCAATTAATAATTAAATACTATCGTCAAATTAACCATAAATATTTCCTTTCAACCAGAGTCAATGTGTGGTTTACACATTTACACTGAAATAAATCAATTGGTGCAAAATGATACTGTACTGAGGGAGCTGTAAGAACACAACAAAACTCAGCAGGTGCTGTGTGTGCCAAACCGCATGTGGCCTGAAACGTAAGCAGTCTGACTGACAGGAGGCAGGAGAAGCCACTGATTGGCTATGAGCCTATAGGATGTGTTGCCATGGCAGTGTAGAAACGTTTCACCTGGTTAGGATTGTGTCAATTCCTCACACCCCGAACAGAAATGAGAAGGTGTTACCAGGATCTTCCTAATCAGCCAGTCTGAAGCTGAAGGATGAGCCCCAGGAGTGCTTCATCTCAGACTGGGGTTATTAACTAAAACCATACATAATACACGTTAACTGAAAAAGCTTAGTTAACTAGTTATTTTATTTCAACTATAGTTGTCAAAACAAGATTTTTCTATTCCATTTAGTTTAATTTGATGAATAGTACTAAAAGAACTAAAACTGAAATTAAATTATAGACATTTAAAAACGAATAAAAATGATAAAACAACATTTCTAAAAAAAAAGTAATTACAACGAAAATGGAAAATACACCTATAATAGTATCTAATATTAAAATAACACTGTCTCAGACAAATATCGCATGCTGTGCTGATGCAAGTTTGTGAAAGCAGTTTACAGATCTAAAATTCAGCTTAAACTGGTTGTTTTTAAAAAATATGGTAGCTGGTTTCTAGCTGGTCTAAACTGGTCCTTAGCTGGTTATTAGTTGCTCCAATAGCTTGTTGACCATCAAACATGTTCCAAAAATCAGCTTGGACCTGCTAATGACCTCCTCAGACCAGCTGGAAAACAGCTAACATGTTCTAAAACACAGCTATCAAGCAATGCAAAAACGCACTTTGAATCTTGCAAGAAGGGTTTCCATGGCGACTTCCAAGGGAAGGGATACATTGGTGGTACCAAGCAATAATTAATTTCAATGGTCCAGTAGGGCTGAACCCCACGGCTGTTGAGCTTGTCCATATGTTCCCATACACTACAGGGGGCTTTGGAGGAGGACATCAACACAGAAAGAGGAGATAACGTCAAAGTCATTTTTAATGCTTTTTTGTCCACATTGGGGGTTGTTTATTATTATATAATCTATGAAAAATGATTTGTGACCCTACCTCTCCCTGCATCCCAATGTGCATACTATCCAAATAGTACGTGAGATTAGAATAATTGTGTGCTATTTATGATCAGAACTACAAAAATGTTAAAAAAAACTACAAACATGGCGGATGTTTGCAACCGAGGGCTAAGTAGAGACTAGAGAGGTTAGATAAAGGGGTTTGGGTAACTAATAAATCAACATTTAACCTGATAAAATATTTATTTAATCTTATCCGTTATAATTCATCCTCAACAACGTGAACTTTTATAAAGATCTGTTTGGCCACTAACTTTTAAATCCAACATTATGCAAAAATATGGGGAAAGTTCTCCGCATGAATGACCCACACCTGGCAGATCAACGTGCTACTTCTTTTCTCTCCAATACGGTAGGAAAACA